ACCAGTGTGCTTGGAGGGTCCCATGCCTCCACAGTCCGATTGATTGTTCAGCTTTGCTCGTTCCCTCTTCTCTGGCAGTTCAGGGAATCCAAAGCTCTAAGCAATGAGGCAGAGACATCAGCTTCGATCCACAGAGGACGATGTCATGATTTCTAAATATTGACAAACATGTCCCTGATGCAATCGCTACCCTTACACTCAAAGTTGCACCTAATGTGTGCTTCGTGCTCAGAGCACAAGGAGAATTGTTTCTATAAAATTATAGATATTATATTTGTTTGATACATAAATAAAAATAATCTGAGATATTTGTGAACACTACATACTGCAAACTCTTGAAACCAAATATCTCAAACTACCATCGGGATCTCCATCCACGACAAGTACCCTACTTGCTTCAAATGATATCACAAACGACATGAATAGTCTGGGTAAGAGGGTAGAACCTTAAAACAACAAATGTTAGTTTTATATTCAATTGGAAAAATAAAAAGTTTACTGTTAATATCTTATAAATGACTTAAGTGTTACCGACATACTCGATGCAATAGCTACTGGCTGTGGACTTCTGCCCGATAGAGGCAGCCTGGGCCTCTGACGCACTCAACCTTGTTGTAGTCGGGGTGAAATTTAGCATAGATTATGTTCAATTTCACTTTTGTGACATTATATAGTCGGTATACCTTTGTTCCACAATTAGGAACATGATCAAACCAAGTGCAGTTGAATGAGAAAACACTTCCTCCAATAAGACTGGGTAAGATAGTTCAACCACTTCTTCCAGAATCCCATGATAGCCTATCTTATCATCCAATTTATCATTTACTTTAACACAAATGCTGAAAGTACAAGACTTTTTTTATTTGGACCAGGATTTCGTATGAAACTTGTACCCATTTACTTCGTAAATTTACCAAGCTTTCACAATGTGCATAGGTCCCCAAGCAAGATCTATCAACCCCTGATCTATCGCTCCATTTCTCCGATCATGATTCTATTAATATATACATAAGAAATCTTGTGTCACATGAGAAATGAATATATTAGTTTTAATTCATATGTGTTGTACACTACTTCGGGAAGTTATTCTCAATCTCCTTGTTGCAGTCATCATCGTCCGCTAAATTTAAGAAACCTATGAATAAATTGTTCACACAATGAGACATAATTGAAATAGATAATCATGACATTTTCAGATGAATGAGTGAAAAATTATAATAAAAAATTATCTAACTCAAAAAAGGGTTGTACTTATTGCATGCCATTTTTCTATGTGCATGACATACAAATTGTGTCTGATTTTGTTATTCTTCCAATTAGGTAGATCCCAAAAAGTTGACTTATTTTTCAAATTATGAGTGACATCAAATCCTGGTGGATGATGTGAAGCAAAGAAAGAGCATACAATAATCTTTGAAATGTCATTAACAATATATAGTATATCTTCCCGATATGTTCTTGGAGGTGGCGATGATTTCTCAATTTTGTTCCTTCTGAATGCATTTATATTCCTCCTGAAGGGATGTTCACCAATTAGAAATATACAGAGATAGTTAAATCATGAATTCTTCTTATCATGTTGAAGCGTAAATGTCTTAGATGAATTCATGCAATATGGACAAACTTTTTTTCCCGTCGTGTTCCACTTAGATAACATTTCATATGCATGAAAATCACTTCTTATCCACATAAATGTTGTTTTATTGGGAAATTATGTTCAATGGATACATTGTACGCCATGACACCTATTTCTCAAAGAATTTGGAGCTCATCTATCAACGACTACAAGTATACATCAATCCCCCCTTTAGGGTTACTTGAACCAGGTATAATAAGTTTTAGTAAGAAGAAAGGGATTGCCATGCACATCTCAGGTGACAATTATATGACATAGCAATCACAGGTCAATAAGAGGAGGGTGATGCGGTCTGATTATAGGGTGGAAGCCATTTGAGCATAAACCTAGCCACACGTGCCTCTGCAGCAAACTCAAGAATCTGCGATCAAAATACCCCATTTGCTAGATGACTCAATGAGTTTTTTTCTCCTATTATGCTCTGATGTCATGTCATATGTGGAGCAATACGCATTAAACTGTATAGTGATCGAATCTGACAATAATCAACACATTTTAAGATGAGTGAAGGTTTTAGATAACATTGAAGTCAGAACGTTAACAGTCATAATGAGGTTGCTAAGGCTGTCGAAGAGCAATAATCGACGAACATTTATCCATATTTTACCTCTAATCCTCGTTGCCACTATAGCTTCACCAATCTTTTCACGAATATATTTCTTTCATATTTTTTCTACCAGTATGAAGTCACTTATCCACCTAAATATTCTCGTCTCAATAACTCTTACTATATTCCTTTCACACGTACGAACAAATTCTGAGAAAAAAATGTTTCATATGACGTAAAGATGTTCATTTCATCATCCAATGAGAAATCTAATTTCCATTTACAGAGTAGAAATCCACTTCAAACATTATGCTCATAAATTTTATTTGAAAATATTTTGATAAAAGTAAACTGCAACACTATATATAATTTATTTACATTGTATTTTGACTTTATATGCTACAATTATTCACAAAATTATGTTTTTTATTTATAGAACATATTATTAAAAACTAATAAAATGCCACACACTACTAAATGATGATCCATTGCTTGTGCCAAATCTTTGCATAATTCAAAAAGCATTTAAAAGTTCATCTAAAATCTATAATATTATAAATAAAGCAAATTAAGGAGGGTAAAAACTAAATCCTACTGCAAAATATAAAGTAACAAACTCCAATAAAATTACTAAGAAAGGAGGATGCCACATGTCTTATATCACTAAAAGCTTTATAAAGTGGGAGCAAATATTTTGTTCTTGCATGTCTATTATTGGTTGTCACAACGTCATATACGTCAGTGACAGGGGACGTGACCGCCGATGATTGGCCGTATGAAGGTGTGAATATTTTTCCTAAAGTTGCACTTCTACTCTTTCTTATAATTCTGCATAGTTCAAAAACCCATAGAGTAAATAATCAATCATTTCTCATATTTTTCTAAATGCTTTACATTCTAAATGTTTCAAATCAAACAACCCCATAATATATTTACATATATAATTATATTGCATCATAATATTATAAATAAAAACATAAAATAAATACATAAAATTTAACTACTTAAGAATCACTTAAGAATCACTTGATATGCATGCAAAATTTTTATTTATTTTCTCACTATTCATCTTTTAAAAATTAGAAATTTATCTCTCATAAATACCAATAGCGTAGTTAACGATTCGATTTTGAGCCGAGATGGGATCAGCTCAAACTCAAATCGAAAAATATTGTGATATGTCACCAACAAATTTTTATCATCCGACACGAATCTCCTGATATGTCACCAACAAAATTTTATCATCCGACATGAATCTCGAGATGATATTTTAAGCAGGAAACATTCAAATATTGATAAAATGTCATACAGAGCTCCGATTTCAGCAAATTTATAGTCAAAATGACCGGCTTGATGAGACAAACCTAATAATATAAAAATTAACCAAATCCGAGTCAAATCAAGCATAGATCAATTCATTGAACCACACTTAGATAATTTTTTAACACATTTGGAAGGTCAAACGGTTGTCGAATATGTCAAGTTTATACTCGAATCGAGCGTCTCGACAAGACAAATCTAACGAGCCTAAAATCACTCAATTCAAACATCATTAAAGCACTCAAATATCTATTAAACGTTGTATGATTGGGGAAGCTATCTGGATCGTCCGATCAAAATGTTTCATATACTTGCATTAATGATATTCAGAACACTGTAAATAGAGCCCCACCCTTCACATGAGGGGGGGTTGGAAACTTTAGAGGGAACTGGAAGCTTTAAGAAGAATCTGAAGTCCAGCATCATCCCCACCACCGTCGACCACCGTCGATCGCCGTCGGCCATCGCTGGGTCGTCATCAACACTCGTTGATCGCAGTCATCTACTGTCGATCGTCATTGTCGATCATCATCAATCATTATCGATCACCACCAATCAAACACCATCAATTATTTTCGTGGGACATGAGCTCATCACTACAGTCCATGTGTCAACAACGACCTACGTGGTTCACAGCTCGAGCAGCTCTCGGTCCGGCCCTGGCGGCCTACGGACGTCATTCATACTCGCCACTACGACCTATGTGGTCCACAGCTTCCGTAACCGTTTACTACAGTTTCTTTGGCCAATCAACATTTCTGGAGCAGTCATCTACAACACTTACAATAGACTACTACCTCCATAATAATCAACAATGACCCTTGCTACCTGTTTTCACCAAGAACCATAGCCAGATTATAGTTATACAATTTTATAATTTTATCTTCCCTAATTTAGGGGAAAAATGAACTTGTGCACTCATCATTTATAGTGAATTATTTCAACTGGGCTAGACCCCGTGGTTTTTCCCTCTTTCAAGAGTTTTCCACGTAAAAAGTCGAGCTGTCTCCTTTTACTTACTTCTTTTCTCTAATGTTATCTGTGTGTGTGTTGAATTCTCGTGCAACGCTAAGACGATAATCAATTACTCTATCACCGCAAATTTTCCAGGCACGCATCATATTCAATCCAAACTCTTAGCTCGTAGCTCGACTTGTTTATTTTGATCCGATCTCGATCCAAGCAAAAATTTAAATCAACTTTTAATCCAGTAATGATCTCCGAGCTAAATCACGGTCCCAACAATATGAGAGCTGATAACGATCCAATTTCAAAATGAATTAGCATTCCTCGGAGTTGGAAAAAAAAATAGATCTCAAATTTTAGATTTTTATATTCATGGTACGGAATGAATTGCCTACTCAAATTTTATGCTCCTCTCTCCATCGTCAAATACATTTTTTTAATGTGGAATTAGTTAATGACTGTTATTTTCTTACATTCTGCCCCCTAAATAAAAAAATATCTTCATTTTTTTAATATATATATATAAAGGAGGGAAGCCAATCCACGTGGAAAATCGCCATCTCTGAGCCCTCCCCACCCCCGCAGGAACCTTCGCGGAAACCTCCTCCTCCTCCCCGCAATAATTACTTTCGATCCCTTTTTCTCCACTCGCCGTTATATATCCACTCTCCCTTCGCTGAGTACAGAAACCACCGCCGGCGAAGAACCATCTATCGATCCTCCCGGTTCTGCCCGCCAACCGTTCGACGAATTGCCGCTGAAGAGGAGGCATGGCTTCCGCGGCGTACAATGCGGAGGGAGGGCTTGAAGCAGGGCTTATTAAGCCCAGCAGCGTTGGCAGAGGGCTGAGCAAGGAGATGCGGCATGGTCATGGCCGCACAGCGCACAACATGTCGTCTTCCTCGCTTCGAAAGAAGTCGGACCTCACTCTCGTTTCTAAAGTTCGGTGGGAGATTCTTCGAAATGTATTGGCTAATTTACAGGAGATTTTTCTCGGGACGAAGCTCTTTGTTCTGTTTCCGGCGGTTCCGGTCGCCATTGTTGCGCAAACCTATGGATTCGGACGAGTGAGTCTATGCTACCTTCTTCTTCTTGTTCTTCTTCTTCTTCATTAATCTTTAGTTTGGGGGACAGCTCGAGTTCGTCTCATTAAGTAGCTCATATTTGATTCATCAGCTACGCAAATGAGCAAAACACGACAAATTTTTTTGTGCTCGATATATAAACGAGCCGGACATAAATAATATTTTCTTAGTTAGTGTTTTTGGCTCCCAATAAAAAACACCCAATAATTTAATTTATATTTAAATGAATATTTAAATATAAACAATAAGATTTAAATCTCATCACTTAACATCCTCACAGCTCTGTGACAAAAATTTATAATCAATTAAAATTATTAATTAACGAACCGAGTCTAAGCTCGCTCAAGCTCGATTCGTTTGTTCTATATGTCTGTTGGAGAGCAGAAAATGGAAAGCTAATTTTTTGCTTTACTAATTCACTTGAGCCACCGAAAAAGCTAATGTTTTTATTTATAAATATTCTTAATTTAAGTGATCAGCTTAACTTTCTCCCACTTGAAATCTATAGAGGAAAAAAAATAGAACCAAGGAGAACAGCAAAACACAAAACTTTGCGAAAGCAGTGCTTACTAGTTGATTAAAATAGAAGTTTGTGCTCCTAAAATCATGAATTGGAGCAGTATTTTAAAAAGAAATTGTCTGCCACCTTTACCTTTGCGTTTGCTCGGTTATAAGAGAATATTGTTGTTCTTTGGAGCTTATGATATCATATATTTACTATAAAATATCTGAGTCATGTTGCAATCACTGTGTGTGGCTCTTTGGTTTTTGTGATGTAATTTTATGTAATATGATTTGTTATTTTTTAAATATATAATAACTTAAATTATATTTAATTATTTGAAGTAACAATAAAGCTCAATTAAATACTGTAAAAGACATATAATATTTGAATGAAGTTATATACGTGTACTGCAAATGACTTATTAAGTACTTTTTTGACAAACATCTTAACAATTTTAATTATTTGCAGGCGTGGGTGTTTACATTAAGTTTGCTAGGCCTGACTCCTCTTGCTGAACGAGTCAGCTTTCTAACTGAGTAAGTTCTTTGTCTTTTCTTTTCTAATCTACCTGGCTCAAGAACAAACATGCTTAGTTATACTAGAGATTCTTTTCTTCTTGAGACCGTTTTTTTTTTCTTCTTTTTTTAAAATATTTAGGTACATATTATATAATTCCAATATATATATATATATAATTTAATTTATTAGGCATTTCTTATGTATGAAATTTGTATTTCACATTTTAGTATTTTTTATGTTATGTAAAAGATTTAGGTTGTGTCTTCTTTCTGACAGATGTTTAGGTGTTCGATATGATGCTGTAGCATAGTGCTCTCAATTATTGCAAAACGACATTCTTTTGATGTTAAATATGTCAGACTTTTTCATTTTTTTTTTTTTGGAAAATGAGCACCTCGTATAGAAGTGCTGTAGCATAGTGCTCTCAATTATTGCAAAACAACATTCTTTTGATGTTACATATGTCAGACTTTTTAATTTTTTTTTTTTGGAAAATGAGCACCTCGTATAGAAATGTGTTAGAAAAAAAAGAAGATTTAGTTACGCATAACTTAATTCTTTTGTATTCACATATCTCACACCTAAACTTCAATTTTTACATAATGCCACCTTAACTATACATGCATTGGTGTATTCCACTTTTTCGCAAGTTAAAATGGTGGTGTTTCTGATGTGATGTGAAAATTTTGGATAGTATAGATGTAAAAAGTAAAGTTTAGGTGTTGCATATGTAAATACTTTAGAATTTAGTGGTATTTATGTAAATGCTATGCTCCATGATATACAAAGGAGTGACATTGGCCCACCACTTTCATGTATATCTCACCTTTCTTATATTTAAATAATTCTTACGGCGCGTCAAAGCCCTTATCTTACTGCATATGACTTAACCTTTTTAATGTTTGTAATATCCATGATAATGTAAAAAGTATAATCAATAATTTTATATCATGCGTGTGCGCACTTACCCATGATAGCGTGCGCACTTACCCATGACAGTGTGCGCACTTACCCATGATATAGTGGTTGAAGAATTTAGTTTCCCACTGTGAAATCGCGGGTTCTAATCGCACATATTCTTCCCTGGACTGATCAACTTTCCCAAATAAAAGAAATAATATCATGTGAGTTGTTGGGTATAAACAAAGTGAAAACACCATGGAAGACTCAAATTTGTAGTTTTTTTTGAAATATCATTCTAAATATCATTCTACACTTAAAAAGAGTATGCTCTTAATACTATCCTTGAATAGATATTGGTGATCTTGTAATTTTCCTCTTTTTTTAATTAAATATTCTATTTTAATATTTTTCTAAGAAATTGTTCACTACATACTATTTCATGCATTGATCAAGAGAAAGTATACCATATCTAGTTTTTGCATATTATAAAAGTATTAAAGAGAATTTTTAGATCCACCAAAATATCCATCAATTGGTTTTCCATATACTGTTTTTTGTGCATTGACTCATGTAAAAGTGTATTATTTTTAGATTATGCATAGTATAAAATCATTAAATAACTTTCTTATATCTACCAAAATATCCATCAATTGAGTATTCTTGTAATGCAATTTTGCATTCATATCAAATGGGTCCATAGTGTTTTACCTTGAATAATGAACCAGCTAATGTAGGCTATCATGTAAAGGAATCCATATTTGTAGCCATATCCAAGTAATATTTTTAAAACTTACAATTAGGTGTAATGAAGTTTTTCAAATGTCATTTTTGTTTCTGTTTTTTTTATAAATATGGAAAAGTTTTGACCGTTGTCTATTAAAGATTTGAAATAAAAGCTAAGTGTCCCTAGTGAAAACATTTGATAATAAAAAAACAAATTATTGATTTAGAAAATTGATTTTGTACACTAAAAACAATAAACAACATGCATGATGTAAAAGCTTTTAAAAATGTCAAAGGACAAATATGATTAGTTTGGACCATTTCATGATAATCCAATTTTAATAATTAAATTGAGTATGTTGTCATAAAGATGCTAGTGAATTTATTCCCTATCTTTTTTTTTTATATATATGGTTTTGATCTTGAATTACACTCATTAGGGAATTTTGGCTCATTGGAGTTATAAATAATGTGCGAAATTTAATTATAATCTTTAAACATCTCCTAGGTAGATGCAGTTGAAATTGTCATATAAATATAACTAAAAGTAAAGTTTAGGCGTTAGATACATAGGAATTTTTGTGATATTAATATTTAAATGCCACAAAAACGATAAAGATGTGCTCTCCACCGCAACGCATTGGCCTACCACTTTCATGTATATCTCACCTCTCTTATATTTAACTAATTATTAAGTCTCATCATAGCCCCTATCTTATGTCACTAATTTTTTTTTTATTGTATATCATGTATTTTATGTAATAAATGAAAATAATACAAACCATCTAATTTAGTTTCATGAGCATTATCAGGTATAAACATAAGTGAAATATTCACCAAGAAAGACACAAATTTGTAGCTTTTCTTGAAATGTCATTCTTACACTTAGAAAGAGTTTGTTTATAATGCTATGTATCCTTGAATAAATATTATCTTGTAATTTTCTTCTAGCTTTCAATCAAATTAATTTAATATTTTCTTAGAAATTCTTTGCTACATACTTGATCATGTGCGTGACTGATCATGGAAGAACATACAATTAGATTATCCCTATTATGCAAATATTAAAGAACATTCTTAGATCCACCAAAATTTCCATCAATTCATTTTCCATATACCTTTTTTTTGTATTGACTCATGAGAAAGTATATTATATTTAAATTATTCCTATAATTATAACATTTTTAAAAACATTATTATATTTACCAAAATATCCATCAATTGGGTATCCAAGTAATGCAATTTTGCATAAATAACAGGTGGGTCCATAGTGTTTTCATATGAATAAAACACCTGCTAACTTAGGATATGTAGAGGAATCCATAGTAGCCATATCCTAGTAATTATTTTATAAATGTGAAAAGGATTTGATCATTTTCTATTAAATATAGCATAAGTTTAAAATAAAAGCCAAGTGTCCCTAGCAATAATATTTGATAATAAAAAACAACTTATTGATTTATAATATTGATTGTGTATACTAAAAACAGCAAACAACATGCATGAAGTAAAAGCTTATAAAAAAGTCACAGAACTAATATGATTAATTTGGCCCATTTCATGAGAATATTCCAGTTATATTAAATTGAGTATGATGTCATAAGGATGTCAGTGAATTATCTCCTTTCTTTTTTTATGCGGTTTTGCTCTTGAATTACACTCATTGGGGAATTTTGGTTCACTGGTGACATTATAATGCACTTGCTAATATAGGATATGTAATGGAATACATATTTGTCGCCATATATATCCAAGTAATATTTTTAGAACTTACAATTAGGTGTTGCAAAAATTTTCTAATGTCTTTTTTTTTTCATTTTTTTTCTTTTTTGAATAAATGTGAAAGGATTTGATAATTATTTATTAAATATAGCATAAGTTTGAAATAAAAGCCAGGTGTCCCCAGTGAAAATATTTGATAATAAAAAATAACTTATTGATTTATAATATTGATTTGTTACACTAAAAACAATAAACAGCATGATGTATAAGCTTATAAAAATATCACAAAACAAGTACTATTAGTTTGGACCATTTCATGACTATCCAATTATAATAATTGAGTATGATGTCATAAGGTTGCCAGTAAATTTATTCCCTTTTTTTTGTTGATGTGTTCTTGAATTACACTCATTATAGAATTTTGGTTCACTAGAGTTGTAACTAAGGTGCAAAATTTAATTATATTCTTTAAACACCACCAAAGTAGATGTAGCTGAACTTGTCATATAAATGTAATTACAAGTAAAGTTCAGGTGTTAGATATTTAAATACATAAGAATTGTGTGTTAGTTATTTAATTGCCCAAAAAATAATAAAGATATACTCTCCACTGCGATGTTGGACCACCACTTTCATGTCCATCTCATCTCTCTTATATTTAACTAATTCTTAAGTCTCATCATAACCCCAATCATAAGTTACTTAATTTTTTTATATAATATATTTTATGTAATGAATGAAATTAATACAAATATTCTAATTTATTATCATGATTATTATTAGGTATAGACAAAAGTGATATCACCGCGGCAGGCACAATTTTGCAGTTTTTCTTGAAATGTCATTCTTACACTTAAAAAGAGTTTGTTTATATTGCTATCAATCAGGGGCGTAACCAACCTCTTTTTTGAGATGGGGCAGTTATCGATCAAGGGTGGAACCAACTTTTTTTTTTTTTTGAGAAGGGGCAAAGTGCCCCCCTATACCCAATATGGGAGGGGCTAAGAAAAAAAGGAGCAAAGTGATATTTCAGGAGGTGCAAAATAACAAATTGCCCTCCCATTTAAATATAAATCTGAATTTGAATGGGGGTGGGGCTGTACCCTTACTCGGTCCGCCTTTGCTATCGATCCTTAATAAATATTGGTTATCTTGTAATTTTCCTGTAGCTTTCAATCAAATCAATTTCATATTTTCTAAGAAACTCTTTGCTACATATACTTGATCATGTGCATGACTGATCAAGAGAAAACATAAAATTTTTAGATTATGCATGTTATGCAAATTCTAAAGGACATTCTTAGATCCACCAAAATATCCAACAATTGGTTTTCCATATTCTTCTGTTTTGTATTGACTCATGAGAAAGTATATTATATTTAAATTATGCGTATTATAACATTATTATATCTACCAAAATATTTATGGATTGGGTATCCAAGTAATGCAATTTTGCATCAATATCAGATAGGTCCATATCCTATGAATAAAACACCTGCTAACATAGGATATGATATCCATATAATATTTTTAAAACTTAACAAATGTAGTGAAGTTTTCAAATGTTTTTTTTATTTTTTTATTTTACAAATGTGGAAAGGATTTGATATTTCTATTAAATATAGCGTAAGCTTGAAATGAAAGCTAAGTGTCCCCAATGAAAACAGATAATAAAAAAAACAGCTTATTGATTTATAAAATTGATTGTGCATACCAAAAAATAATGAACAACATGATGTAAAACCTTATAAAAATGTCACAGAAGAAATATGATTAGTTGGCACCATTTCATGAGAATCCAAGTGTAATAAATTGAGTATGATGACATAAGAATGTCAGTGAATTATTCCCTTTCTTTTTTTTTATGTGGTTTTGCTCGTGAAGTACATTCATCAGGGAATTTAATTTGGTTCACTAGTGTTGTAACTAAGGTGCCAAAATTTACAGTTTTTTAACATCACCATGATCGATGCAATGATATTATCATATAAGACAAAGAGGGACATGTCAGATCACTTTGTTTTTTATTTAGGACATTTACATATGTACAAGCCACTCAATTCCTTTGAATTAACATATCTGACGCTCAAATTTTACCTTTTCCATTTATACCACCCAAATCTTTCTTATCAAATAAAAATATATCACCATTTTAACTTTTAAAATGTGAAATATACATTTTTATCCACAGATATAGTGGTATGTATGTAAAAAATTGAATTTTATATGTAAATCTTACTTTTTATTTTTATTTTGTTTTAATTATATTTTAAATCTAGACAAAATATGTTTGGTAGGCTGAAAATATTTTTGATTGTTTCACACCTGAAATTTGTTCGAGTGATTTTAAAAATAAATTGATTAATTTTTTAAAAACAAAATATAAAAATATGTAAATAAATATATCAAATAAATATATTTTAATTGATTACAAAAAATCCCTGAGTGAAAATACATATTATAAACACAAATATCTATGAAGTTTGGCTTCAATAAATTTGATGAAGTCACAATCATGATATACAAATCAGAAGCACTCACATAAATCACAAAATATTTTGTTTATTTTTTACCACTTGCATCAAATTTCGCATTCAGATCTAAGCTGTAGCTTTGTTTATGAGCCGCTCAATCAAAGCTGTGCCTCCTTGGACTTGCGACAGGCTAATTTGTTTTGTTTCTGCATGTGTAGTTTTCAAAATCAGTCCTTTTGTGTCTCATCCTTCTGTCCTCATATATCATACTGAATAACTTTCATTTTCTTCCTATTTTTTTAGGCAAATTGCATTCTACACCGGTCCTACTGGTACGTAATATTCCATTTTGCATTGCTGAATTCTTATTGTTACAGTTTAATGGAAGTAAAATCTGTTCTTACTGTTACAGTGGGAGGTCTGCTAAATGCGACGTGTGGGAATGCCACTGAGCTTATTATAGCTTTGTTTGCACTGTACGAAGATAAGATTGATGTTGTGAAGTTCTCCCTTATTGGCTCAATCCTCTCCAATTTGCTGCTTGTTCTCGGCACCTCACTATTCTGTGGCGGCATTAGAAACATTCGCAAGGAGCAAACTTTTGATCGGGTACATAATTAGGGATATTTATATACATACCCATGCTTATGTAATTACATGTCTAATCAAAACCCAAAATTTAATATTTACATTCATCTGGATATTTTTTTAAAATCACAAGTATTTCTTTTTTTGGGAACATATAATTGCATCTCCTTAATTCCTATGTATTTTCATATCTACACTTAAATTTCATTTTTTGCATAATGCTATCTCACCTATGCATGAAAATGTGTATTTCACTTTTCAAAAGTTGAAATAGTAGTGTTTTTTATGTAATATGAAAATTTTGAGCGATATAAATGTAAAAAACAAAATTTATATGCTTGATATGTAAATATATAGAAATTTGGGGGTATGCATGTAAATGGCCCCTTTTTTTTTTGGAAGATTCACTTACCACTCTATTCCTACCTATTTTATATCTAAAACCTAAGCTTCAATTTTTTTACATATATGTGATCACCTTATTTATGCATGAAAATAAGTAATCGCTGTATTCACTGTTTAAAAGTTAATATAGGAATATTTTTAATGTGATATGAAAAGGATTTTGATGCTAGAAAATTAAAAATCAACGTTCAAATGTTGGATATATAAACACATAGGGATTGGTTGGTATTTACTTAAAATAGTGGGAGATTTTATGATGTTTTCCGTATTTTTTTTTGTCCAGAAACAAACTGATGTGAACACGAGCCTCCTAATTCTCGGGGCTCTGTGCCATATTCTTCCACTAATGTTCAGATACGCTGTGAGCTCCGGCGAGCACAATGCTTCTTCTTCACCAACTCTGACATTGTCGAGGGTGTGCAGCATTGTCATGCTAGCAGCTTATATTGCTTATCTTTTCTTTCAACTTAAGACTCATCGTCAGCTCTTTGAGTCACCAAAGGTAAAATACACATTAACCAGAGAACTACAGCTAAAGCTAACTGGTTTGGTTAGTTTTATGTTGTCTTAATTACTCCATGCTTCCACTGTGCCAAACTAGGAAGATGATGGGACTAATGATGTGGTTTCTGAAGACGAGGCAGTGATTGGATTCCCGAGCGCTTTGGCTTGGTTGGTTGGAATGACTGTTATTATTGCAGTTCTGTCAGAATATGTTGTTGGGACCATTGAGGTAATTTATTTTAGCTGTGTAAGAAATTTGTGTTGGAATCTAAATTTTGTTTGATACTCTTTAGCATGTGGGACTAAAAGAAATGGTTCACTAGGAGAGAATGTTAGTTACTGAGTTTGTATGCATACAGGCTTCACAATATTGTTGTACGTTGTTGTACAACTATTGCACATGGAGTCTCCATGCATATATATGAACTTCGCCCGTAATAACTTTTTGTAAATAGAGGGTGACGGTAACTCCTAAAAGGAAGCATTCTGTCTGACCAAATTGAAATATATTTGAAACGTGATAACACATGGTCAATTTTACATTACATTTACAACAAACCTGTTATTTGCAATATGGATTTATCAATTTTTACTTAACCAATATTTTAATAAATATTCTTGTGCAGGCTGCTTCAGATTCTTGGGGCATACCCGTTAGTTTCATAAGCATCATATTACTACCCATCGTGGGGAATGCAGCAGAGCATGCTGGTGCCATCATTTTTGCATTCAAGAACAAGCTGGTAAGTTTCCTTATGGGGCCATTTACATATATACCAATCCATCAGTTCCTATGCATTTACATATCTAACACCAAAACTTTTTTTTCAGATCTTTCATATCACATAAAAAATAACTCTTTTTTAACTTTTAAGAAAGCGAATACACCTTTTCATGCATAGGAAATGTTTAAATGCCTGTAAAAATTGAAGTTTAGGTGTTATATATATAGATGCATAAAAATTGAATGGTATGTATGTAAATCTTCCATCATTAAAGTTGAAGCTTAAGATTTAACATTCCCTTTGGTGCAGGATATAACTCTCGGAGTGTCGTTGGGTTCGGCAACTCAGATTTCTATGTTTGTGGTGAGGATTTGAGAACACTCTCCTAGTCTGCAACATATAAAACCAGACACACACACACACACACACATATATATATACAGGATCTAACATTGTTTCATGGATGCATGATGCAGGTTCCATTGAGCGTTATTGTGGCCTGGATAATGGGAATTAGAATGGATCTTGACTTCAGATTACTCGAGACCGGAGCTCTTGTCGTCTCAATTTTATTGACATCGTTTGCTTTACAGGTTGGGAAATCAAGATCTTAAGCTATTGAACTTTTCATTTTTTTTTGTAAAGTCTCAACTTTTTTTTTATTTTGCAGGATGGATCTTCACATTATCTCAAGGGATTTGTTCTGCTTCTTTCTTACATTGTTATCGGGGCATGTTTCTTTGTACTAGGGAGCCCACCAGGTATTTATCTTTCATGAATATCTGCATGCAGCTGAAACTTAATATTATTTGCAAATATCACCCTGAGATAATCCTTTTTATCCTAATTTCTGTTTCTTTTTGGTGTCTTCATGTAAATGACAAAGGTAATGGCGTCCATGTTAATGCAATCCCTGCAAGTTTCAACATTGTGAAGTCTTAAGAGGCCAGCAGGCATGTATCAATTCCTTCATGCTGAGTCAATATTTGATTTGATTTATTAATCATATATAGTGGCATTTACATGCATTTGCAGGCATCTTAAAGCACATCATTATAGTTATTAATTTATAATTTTTCATTCATATGGTCTTCACCGGTGTAAATATGTGTTTCAATATTTGCAGATTTTAATGCTTTCCGAATGTTAAAGCTCAAGCTTCGTTGTAATTTTGCTAGCAAGCAGCAGTCTGGTGCTTGGCCCGTAAATTTGAACATTTCGGATGGTCAATTTTGTCCTCCAAAAAACTCTTTTTGGGCGGATGGAGAGGATCACCTCTTGTTGTATGTGATTTTCACTGCTTTTGTAAATTATTATTTTGTTTTCTCTGTGGATGAAAAATAAACAATTGCATTCGCTTAGCAGTATGAATTTTGTTCATTATTCAAATTAATCATGAAACCTTTGTCTCATGTCTCATTTATAAATTGAAAGTTTGCGTAATCGGCTTGAGGTATTGCATCAATTTTCTCGTGATTGAGAGAAGTATTTTTGTGAGGTGTTTGCTATTATAAATCACTTCGGAGTAGGGCTGTAAAGGAGCCGGGCTTGAGCGAGCTCAGGCTTGGCTCGTGTTCGGCTCGTTCGAAACTGTTCGTGTTCGAAATCGGCTCGTGAACAATGTGTTCGTGTTCGGCTCAATTTAAATATTCGTGTTCATGTTTAGCTCGAGATTGACTTGTTAAAATTAAATTGAAAAAAAAGATGTAAAGTATTGGGTTCGAACCTGGATCAAATATATGGAAAAAAATTCACATATAAATATATATACAATATTATTATATAAATAATTATATAATTGTTTTGTTTTAAGCTGAAACTAGCCAAACACGAGCGAATAAAGAGTTGTTTGTGTTCGGTTCATTTATAATTCGAGCTTAAAAACTTGTTCGTGAACAACGAGCTTTTTTGACAGCCTACTTGGGAGGTAGTGGTGCAAATGATATAAGCGGACTCATGTACCTATATGACTAGTGATTTGATGATCACAATATGTAAGTAGTGTCAATTTTTTTTTTCTTTTTTTCATGTTAATTAATTCAGAGTAAGTCGTGTATCGAAAAATATAAGAGAACATGTATGAGGAGCATATAATTCATGTTACGTGTGGGATTAGAGAAGGAAGTCGAACAAGTATCGAAAAATTAAAAATAAATGTTTGATTTTGATATGAAATTGATACATATAAATTATAAGCAATATGTATTGGCTATAATGCCAAATCATTAGAAAAGAACATGACAAAAAGTTAAAAACAGAACAAGTCAAGGAGAAGGAGAAGGCCATCAAAAGATTTATGAAGATGGTGGAGAGATAGGAGATAGAAGGATAGTTAGTGATTAAGGCTTAGAAAAATCAAATTTGATTCAATACTCAAATCAATTATGTAATAAAGTTCTCACGATCTTCTTATATAGATTGAGTCTAGATTTTGTTATAAAAAGTCTCTAAATAGCTCAGAAATTACATAAAGGGCGAACTAGAAATATGTATAATAATTTCTAGAATATTGATATTAATTTTAGGACTGTTTTTTTTTTATATTTTGATGTTAGTTTAATAATTTCCCATGGATTATGAAAATTATTTTTCAATGAGAATTATATTTGGAATTATTAATCATAAATGATATTGTGGAACTCATTCTACAAACTTCTCTAAGATCATATTGTGAAACACATGAAAGGGAAAGTATGAAGATAAAAAGGTATTATGAGTTGTTTGACTTGATATTAAATTGATATAAAATAAAATGTAAGTAGTCACATGAATAGGCTCATACCAAATTGTTTTATAAAAAAAGAGATGTAAGAAATCAAGACAAAGACAAGCCTTTATCCCGCTAAGTGGGGTCAAGTACATAAATCCTTTTTCTCCATTGCATCCTATTGAGTGTCATATTTTCATTTAATTCTAACAAAATAAGATCATGTTTTATACAATATGCTGAAGTCTTTATTGGTCTACATCTGTCTTCTTAACATAAGTCGAATCTAAAACATTTACTCTCCTAACCGGATAGTCAATTGATCGACGTTTAATGTTACCAAACCATCAAAGACAGCTCTCTATAATCTTGTCCACCATTAGAGCTACACCAACCCTATCACAAATATAATAATTTCACATTTTGTCTCTACGTGTCAAGCCACTCATTTACCTAAGCATTCTCATCTCAACAACAATTAACTTTGTTTTATGCTTCTCTTCTAAAGGCCGCCGCTCTACGTCATGAAGCATTGTAGGTCTCATCACTATCTTATAAAGTTTTCCCTTCAATTTAAGCGATACTTTTCTATCACAAAATAGGCCTGAAGCATTGCTCCACTTCAACCAACCAACTTGAATTCTATCATTAACATCTCCATCTATATCACCATCACTTTGAAAAATATACCCGAGATATCTAAAGCATCCACACCTTTTAATGATTTGATCACCCATAGTTATAACTCTATCACTAGAGCTACTACTAGTAAAATTATATTTCATGTATTCAGTTTTAGTTCTACTCAAACGAAGGCCTTTAGAATCCAATCTAGACCTCCATCATTCAAGTTTTTCCTGAGCTATTTCTCTAGTCTTATCCACAATAAAGATATCATCAGCGAAATATAAGTCATATCAACACCTTTCTTCTTAAGAACTCTCCCAAGATAAGCTTAAAAAAAATCAATAAAAATCATATGTAAATCCGCCTTATTCTCTCTATGCTTACCCATCAAACCTCTCAATAAATGTATAGTTTCCATAGTAGACCTGTCCGATATAAATCCAAACTAATCATGAGAAATGTTTGTAACTTATTCAATTACCCTCACCCGTAATTTTAAAGTATAACATATCAACTTAATTCTTCTATAATTTGCACACTCTTGTACATCCTCTTTATTCTTAGAAATGTGACAAAAATACTCTTCCTCCACTTTTGAGACATCTTTTTAATTTTTAAAATAATATTAAAGAGTTTAGTAAGCCAATAAACTCCCAAATCTCCTAAATATTTTCACTTTTCAATTGGGATATCATCAGGTCTTACAAATTTTCTACGCATAGTTTTCTTTATAGCCTCCTCATCTTCTTCTTTATTAATATGATGGCAAAAATGAAATGTTTATTATTAAAATAACTAAAGTCAATCGTATTTTCAAAAACTTCATTTAAACGTTTATCAAAATAACTCACTGATCTATTTTGAACAATTTTTCTAGGAAAAACGCCTTTTGATTTTTATCTTTAATACACTTTACTTGAGTTAAATATTTACAATTCTTTTTGTTTAGCTAGTTTACACATATATTTTTCACACCCTTTAGTATCTAATATATTATAAAGATCAATAAAAATAAAATTTTTAGCGTCACAAATTATTCTCTTAGACACCCTACGGGTCATTTTATATTTTTCCCAGTTCTTTAAGTTTTTACATTAAAATCAATTTTTATAACATAACTTCTTATATTTTATCTTTTCAATTTAATCTAATTTTTATAACATAACTTCTTATCAATTTTTATAACATAACTTCTTATATTTAAGTTTGATAGTTAGAGTCACTTTATTCCACATAGAATTTACTTTTTAATGAACATTCCAAACTTTGAAATTATAAAGTTTACTCATAAAAATAAGTTTATTTGTGTCTTTTAGGTGCTCCGTTCTAATTCTATAACAGTAGTTCCTAATATTTATTTTACAACTCTTCATTCTAAAATCCAAAACTAAGAATCGATTTTGGGTATTTAAATTCTCACTAGGAATGAAGTATGTTATAAAGCAATAATATGTTCATCATTTTTCTTAAATAAAGTATTAACAATAATAAAATCATACACTAAAGCAAAATCTAATATGGTTTTACTTCTTCATTAATCACTCCAAAACAGTAGCCACTATGAATATTTTTAAAATCTTCTACCACTCTGCCGACGCGTCCATTTAAATCTACTCCAATAAAAATTCTTTCTTCAAGAGGAATTATCTGTATTGATTCTTCTAGATCATTCCAAAATGTTTCTTAAGGACATAGATCAAAACACACTTGAAGAGCATAAACATTTATAATATTAAAAATCTTAGTAGCACTAACAATCTTAAATGTTATAATTCTATTTCCAATTCTTTAAATTTTTTCAAACCCTTATCTATAATTACACATACACCATTTCTTATGCGACTTTATTTGAATACCAAAGTTTAAACCTAAGCTATCAAGATCCTTAATCTTTTCTCCAACCCATTTAGTTTCTTAAATACATAAAATATTTATCTTTGTATGAATCATACTATCAACTAATTCCATTAATTTACCTATGAGAGTACCTATATTCCAAAATCTCATCTTAATATTAGTTTCATGAACCAACTTCTTTACATGCATCTGTTTGTAATGTGAGAACTCTTGCTTATTTGACACTACAGCCGAGCATCGGTGTAGCAGCTCTTGCACACTTTTCACTATATTCTTGTCATACAGTGTATCACTTCCAGACAATGCCCTAACATTTACACAATGATTTAAAAGATTTATGTCAAGATTTTTTTGACAAATTTTACATTGTCTGTTGATTACCTAACACAACCCTCAACTTTTCACATTCGGGGTTTGGGACCCGACAAAGAATCAAGGCATTAAAAAAAAGGATGAAAGAGAGCAAAAATATGAGGTAGAGAAAAATAACTCAGTGATGAAAATTGATCTCATGAAATGTGTGTGTGTGTGTGTGTATTATAGGTGGAATCAAAATTTATTATCAAGAAGTCCTCAGTTTCATAAAAAAATTAGAAAATTTCTTTGTAAATTGTACTAAATATAATAAACCTAAAAAACTAAAATAGTTCTAAGATTATTTGATTATAGCCTAATGTCTTCATCATGAGAATTGCATCAACTAATGCATTAATAGATGTTGAAATTTTTGTGAAGTGTTATAATATTTTAATTCAGTGTCCTTGTTAATGCTTTGGATGATTTAGAGGTCTTGTAAAAGCATTGAAATACACTAGAGAGCGTTATAAGACAAACACACTCATGCTAAGCCACATGATTTAGAAATTAAATAGGATTAAGGCTCTAATAATTGTATCTCTTTGCTTAGATCAAAAGATAAGCCTACTTGCCTAACTCTAGTAGACTAATGCCCATTTAAAAAACTATATTAGGCACAAACCCCACTAGTAAATATAGGACCTACCAATTCACATTAGTTTAAGCCCTATATGTGAGGTTCTATTTGGAAGATATAATAATAAAGGATATTATTATTATTAGTATTTAGATAGTGCATATATGGATAGTGCACATATGACATCTTATTCATGCAAGAACTTAAAATAATGATATTTGATGTGATATAAATAAAAATGTGTGGTATATAGGGTTGTCCAAACAGTTCGTTGTTCGAGAATAGCTTCTGCTCGACTTGTTG